GCGGGCCTCGATCCCATGACCCTGAGATCATGACCTGAGCCAAAGGCAGAGGCTTAACCCACTGAGCCACCCAGACGCCCTGGGTGACCGACTCTTGGTTTTAGCTCAGGTCATGATCTCAAGGTCCTGGGATCAGGCCCCCGTGACAGGCTCCCTGCTCAGTGGGGAGCCTGCTTGAGAGTCTCTCCCCACACCCATCGCAGCCCTTCCCCCCTGTTCTCTTTCTCTCGAATAATAAGTAAGTGTTTTAGGAAAAACCCAAGAGTTGATTGAATTCCTATATAACACCAAGGGACAAGTGATGTTTGAAATTAAAAATATGATATCATTTATGTTAGCACCCCAAAAAATGAAATACATACAAAACCTGTATAAGTTCCACATGGGAAAACAACAAACTCTGATGAAAGAAATCAAAGAAGAGCTAAAAATAGAAATATCCCATGTTCATGGATACAAAAACTCAGTATTTTTGAAATGTCCATTCTTCCCAGCTTGATCTATAGAATCAATACAACCCCAGTTAAACCCTCTAAGAGTTATTTTGTGGCAAAACAGATTCCAAGGTTTATATGGAGAGACAAAAGACGGAGAATATCCGACACAGTCTTGCAAAAAAAGAACAAGGCTGAGGGACCGACAACTACCTGAGTTTAAGACTTACCGTAAAGCTGTAATTAGGGCAGCGTGGTCTTGGCAAAAGAACAGATGAACAGATCAATGGAATGAAACACAGAGCCCAGAACTAGACCTACATAAATACTGTTAACTGCTCTTTGACAAAGGAACAAAGGCAACACAATGGAGCAAAAATAGTTTTTTCCAAGAAAAGCTGCTAGAACAGCCTGACATCCACATGCAACCAAAAAAAAAAAAAAAAAAAAAAAAAACTGGAAAAAAACCCTGACACCCACAAAAAAAAAAAAAAAAAAAAAAAAAAAAAGTAATCTGGACACAGACCTTACACACTTCACAAAAATTAACTCAAAATAGACCATCTACACAAATGTAAAATCCAACACTATAAAACTCCTATAACACAGAAGATCTAGATGACTGAGCATGGCAGTGACTTTTTAGATACACCAAAGTCATGATCCGTTAGAGGATGATGGATGAGCTGGACATCATTAAAATTTGAGACTTCTGCTCTGCGAAAGCCACTATGGAGAGAATGAGAAGAAAAGGCTCTAAGAGAAAATATTTGCAAAATACAGATCTGATAAAGGACTGCTATCCGAAATATACAAAGGACTCCTACTAAAGCTCAGCCATGGGAAAGTGAACAACCCAGTTAAAAGATGGGCAAAAGGCCTGGACAGACACCTCACTAGAAAGGGTGCACAGAAGGCAAGCAAGCACCTGAAAATGACATCACACGCCGTCAGGGAAGGGCCAAGCTCCAGAACATTGACAGCGTGACGCTGGTGTCCCACTGAACTCCGCCCACGGGCCTCTGTAGGGAGCGCGCCCCGCAGAAGGCGCCGCCCCTTCCTCCAGTGGTTCTTCTTTTCCCCAAACTGATGCCCCGGGCACCGTCTTTATCTTAGAAGAAACTTCCTTCTTCCGTTCCCTAATCCATGCTCTAGCCCAGCTTGGGCGTTAACTCGTCTGTGGTGGTTTTCAGCCGTATCCCCGCTGGAGGTCGGCAGAACTTCAGGTGACCAGCGCAGGGTTGTGTAAGGGAGGAAGAGCTTCGGCGCCAAGACAAGGACGACAGACAGGCTCCCGCTGATGTTTTCCAGCAGCAGAAGGTTCTCTCTTCAGGAGGATTCACAGGTTCCCAGGTTTTCTGCATTGTTTACAAGCTCATGGTTAACTGAGGAGAACACTTTCAGCATGTGTAACATAGAAATACGGATTAGGTCTCCGCACTGGTTCCTGACGGGGCTCCTAAAACCTTTGTAATTTCTTGGGTGGCCAGAGTGTCTTTTGTTCTAATGAGGGACTCTGGGTGGGCTCCTGGCTGGGGGCTGGTCACCATGCTCTGGGGAGGGGAGAGGGGCTGGAGATCAAGCTGATCCTTGTTTGTGCCTCTGACATGAAGCGACCATGCACAGCCCGACAACACAGGGTTCCGAGTCTCAGGGCTGGTGATGGCCACCTGCCAGGATGGTGGCACCCCAGCTTCCCAGGGACAGAGTATGCTCCCAAACCTTGCCCTGTGGCCTTCTTCATCCTGCTCTTCCTATCATCCCTGAACAGCCTTTACGATCCGTCGGTAATAGTAGGCCAAGTGTCCCCCTGAGCTCTGTGAGCAGTTAGAGCGAAGCTGCAGACTCGAAGGCGGGCCCTGGGGACCTCCAGTGGCAGCCAAGTCAGATGGAAGTGTGCGGGTTCCCCCCGGGGGCCCAGTACTGGCAACTGGTGTGCGAGGTTGGGGGCGGTCTGGGGGGACCGAGCCCTCCCCTGGGGACTCCGATACTGACTCCAGACAGTTGGTGTCAGCCCGACGGAAGAAGTAACAGGACATCCCGCCGGTGTCTGAGAAATGGAGAATGATGGGCAGAGGGGAAATGCCAAGTGTGGTGTCAAAGTGTCCTGAGGGGACAAGCAGCTTTCTTTCAGCACTTTCTCTCAGGACTTTCTCTCAGATTCTTGAAAGGGCAAGGTTTAAGCTAAGCTGCATTTGGGGAAAAGCAAAACCAGGACCCCAGCCCTGAGAACCCAACCGTCTTGCCCTGATCACAGAGGTGGCCGAGCACAGAGAGAGAGAGAGTCACTTTGCACAGCTACAGCCCGAAGTGGGGACACGCTGTGTTTAGTTTTATGTAGTTTTCTTTTTTTTCTTTTTTTTTTTTTTTTAAAGATTTTATTTATTTATTTGAGAGAGAGACAGTGAGAGAGAGCATGAGTGAGGAGAAGGTCAGAGAGAGAAGCAGACTCCCCGCGGAGCCGGGAGCCCGATGCGGGACTCGATCCCGGAACTCCAGGATCACGGCCTGAGCCGAAGGCAGTCGTCCAACCAACTGAGCCACCCAGGCGTCCCAGTTTTATGTAGTTTTCATATGGCGTTGGCTCTTTACCAGCAACAGAAGAGCTGTTTTCTCTCTTTTTAGTCATCTGTGTAGCTGTCACCTCTGGGCAATACACACTGGCTTGATACACAGCCCTACTTGGCTTTCCCTTCTCATACTGAATTTCCTCCAAGCTGTATGGGCTTACGAAATTCTCCCTGGCGAGAGACTGTCCAGGGGTCATGCCCCTTCCCTAATTTTCAGGCTTCGGCTCGGCATCCCTGGCCGCAGCCAGAATCTCCTGGCCCAGCCCCGCAGGTCCCTCGCCCCACGTGAGCCTGGGCTCCGGGCAGCTCCGGGGTCATGCCAGGTCCCCGACCCCAGGTGGATGCTCACCTTCCTCCCTGGCCAGGACATTCTCCGGGTTCTGCAGGCGGGCCACGCCTGGCTTCAGGGCCTTTCTGGGCAGCTCTTGGCTCAGAATAGTTCTGGAGAACGGCGTTTCCTTTGCCTCCCTCCACACCTGCGCCCTGCAGCTCTCGGTGTGTGCTGAGATGTGGGTGTAAAACGCGCGCTGGTTTCCAAAGACTTGGTACATACAAAAGAGCGCAGACCACCCATCATGTTTATTTGATTACATGTTGAAATGACAGTAGACAAAGGATAATCAAAATAAATTTCGCCTACTCCTTTTCACTTTTTAAAATGTGGCTCCCAGAAAATGTTAAGTTACCTGCACGGTCTGCAGACATTGCCACTGGCGGCTCAGGAGAGGCGCAGAGGGAAGGCCGCCTCCCAGGAAGGGGTCACGAAGCCCTGTGTCAGGACCCCCACCCCCAGCCCAGGGGTGATGTGGACGCGGCTCCTCTGGCAGGTGCACATGGGACCCAAGGCACGCCGGGCAACAGGCACCCAGCCTGGCAGGCCCCCCTCCCCACCCAGTGCGGGGCTCTGCCTCCAGCTTGCCGCCACGAATCTCAATCCAAAGGAGCCAAAGGGGGACTGAAATGGTGAAGAATTAAGTGTTTTTCTTCCCCTCCGTGGTTCCCCGTCAGAATTTGCTGTTCCAAATACAGCTCTGGGAAACGCGAGCGGCCGCGGGGCTCCGTGCTGACCACGCTGTGCTCATGAGCGAGCTTTCTAAACGGGCTCTAAGGGGCCGCGGCTATTCATAAACACAGAAACGTGACCAATACGTTTCAGCTACTAAGTTAATTACAACAATGGAAGACATTTGAAGTTTTTAATCCTCTTTGCTTTTTCAATAGAACCAAAAGAAAGTCAACTTAATAACTAATCTTACCTGCTGGTTTCTGCAAACTAGTTATTTTAACCATATTTTAACAAACAATAATAATATTAGAACAGTAATTAGGGAGAAATTAATTGGACAATAGAGCTTTCCCACACTCAAATGAAAACACATTAGAACCGAGATCATTTGCAGTCACAAGCATGAGCCCGCTGCCTGCGTTTCAGGGTGGCCCGAGGGGAGTGGAGAATTCGTGTGACTCTGGGAAAACGTCCACACTTGGGAATTCCTCAAGGTTTTCTGTACTTTTTTGGAGATTTTAAGTTGTATCTTATCAGCCCATCTGGAGAATTTATTTCAAAATACTTTTAGTGAAAAATCACTACAGCTTTTTAGGTGGAGAAGCCTTCAGAGGAAAATTTCCAAGACAGGGTGAAGGTAAGGGAATGGGCCATTGCTTCCCCAGAGGCTGCCGGCTCCGGCAGTGTGGACGTGCTCCCAGAGTCGCCAGGAGCCGCTCTGTCCCCGGGGCCAGACAGCCACCGTGAGCTGCGTCCCGCACTTCCTCCAAAAAGGGGTCTGTGATCACTGAGACCCTCACTGAGACCCTCACCGAGAACTCTGAGTAGATCCCCCCAGCCCCCGGATGCAGAGGGAAAGCCTGACCTTAGTGACACGGCCGCTGACCAGGCCTGGCCTCGTGTCCCTCCAACAACCTTTCTAAACTACGCGTCCGTTTCCCTCAGAACGTTGAAACAAGACCTACGCGCATCCCGCAGTCACCACACTAACTACTCAAGCTTTAGGCCTTTGGACTTGAACTCGATGCGGAGAATCTGCGACAGGCACCTCCCGAACTCCTCCAGGATCATCTGCTCCGCCAGGCCGTCGGGGCAGCGCGCCTTCTCCGCCTCTTCGCCCTGGGCCAGCAGGCAGGCGCACGCGGCCTCCACCACCTCCCAGGAGATGCACGAGGGCGGGCGCCTGGCAGGAACAGAGCGGTTACAGGCCTGGCCCCCACGCCGCGCTTTAAGTACCTTATGGGTAAGGGGACATCCTGGTCACGGGATTTACAGCGGGTCACCGGTGAAGCGTAACGCCAGCTTCCTCGTACCGGAAACCTTGACGATACGCATTTTGCTTTTAGGGGTGACCCGTCCACTTCTCGACTCCCCTGTCACCGCAGGGTCTGAGGACGGTCCGGGAGGCCACCTGCAACCTGCAGGGGCTCCGGGGCGACAGCGTCCAGCCCGGGGTCCGGGCAGGGGTAGAGGCAGGCCTCTTGGGTAAGACAAGGCCCTAGAGAAGCGCCGGGAAGCCTGCTCCCAGCTCCGGCCCTAGGGGCACCTGAGCTCCCGGAGGCCAACCGCCCTGAGGACTCGTCCCCGTGGAGGGGCGCTGTCGGCACGGTTCCCCCCCACAAAGGCCCCCTGGGAGCCCTGAACAGCAGGACTCTGTCGTGCAGGACCGGCTGGGGCCCCTCTGAGCTCGAGGGGCAACTGTGGCTTCGCTCCACGGCTGCCCACATCGTGCTCAGACTCCAGAAATTCAGGAAAACGTCCCCAAGTGCAAGTGTTGGAGGATGAGAACAGACACGGGGGTTGGGATGGGTTCGAATCTCTCCGTGCAGACAACACGCGATGACTTGTTCAAGACGAACAAACAGGGCCGACTGGGAAACCCCTAATGTCTGGAGGCCAGACTCCGACCTCTGGAGCCTCCATCACACCAGGTGGGACACGCAGCTCCTGAGCCATGAGAGAACATCTCTGCTCCCCCGTTCACAGACAATGAGGCCGTGTTCGGTGGATTTTTACTGGTGAAGACCCCTGCACGCCCAGGGACGAGTACCTCTGGTGTCTCTGACCAAATAAGAACGAACTCGGCTCTGCAAAATGATGTGAATCCGTGACATCTGGTACTCATCATGACAACGCTCAAGGCATTGAATTGAAAGGTACTTTTTTAAGTGGATAAACCTAGTCTAATACATAGTAAAATTATCACCCAACCTTTGAGATCTGCTGGGGTTCTAATATGGCCTCAGCCCAGCTCAGTGGGGCGCTGTCCACCTCGTGTGAGCTGCTTTACCGCCCCGTAGGAAGGAGCGCGGCGGGCAGGCTGTCTCCCCACACGGCCAGCAGCCGGTCAGGTGCCTGCGGTCCGGAGATCGTGCCCGCGCTGCCCGGGAGCGCTGGCCTGTCGGCGATCCCCACGGGGCCCCTCTGCTTGTTCACAACATGGGTAGCTCTGTCCGTGAGGACAGATGGCACAGAGCGGTCTCCGTGGTGGGGACCCCCGCGGAAACAGCGGGTGGGATCTCAGGCTGGTCCAGCAGGGGAGCTGTCACCTCGTCCCCACCCCTCCCTCCGTCACAGACACACACACACACACACACACACACACACACACACACACACACACGGTCTTTCCAGTATATAGACTGACTTTCTCAAATTAACCTCTGTTTCCCCTCTTCGGAGGGTGGGTTCACAGTACCTACCTATCTTGTCTGAATTTTGGTGGTCCTGAGAATTTAGTTGGTGACAACTGGTGGCTGCCTTCAGACCCTCCAATTTCCATAGAGTTGGGCGTGTTCATTAGGGTTTTCCGTTCTGGGCTTTCTTCATAATTTTTGCAACCAATGCATTTGCAAATAGAAGAACACATAATTTTGGCCTGGTAACATAAAATGCTTCAATAAAATTAGACTGCCCTATAATTCACCAAAAAACAACACATTCTATTTGGACCTTAAATAACTCTGTGTGTGTGTGTGTTTAATCTGCAGTTTTCATACAGACACGGGGAGGGGGTTTGGAAGGCTGGCGTGTGAGTGTGGGCATGAGTCCCGAGCAGAGAGGGGGTCAGAGCGCTGCCTGGACTGGAACACGGGTCCTAGGATCCCAGCCCACAGCTCTCAGCTCGCCCCCTTTACTATGCTTCGCAGATACTGCGTTTCCACACATGGGGGGTTTGTCCAATAAGCCTGTCCCCCCCCGCCGTGTCCAATAAGCCTGTCGGCACAGGTTTTCCAATGGTCTTTGCTCACTTCGTGGCTCTGTGTCTCATTTTGGTAATGCTCTCAATATTTCAAACTTTTCGTTACTCTTATGTTTGTTCTGCTGATCTGTGCCCAGGATGGCAACTAAGGTCATCAGAGGATGCTCAGTATTTCTAACGAAGGAATGTGCCTTGTCTTTTAGACTTCGTGCCACTGCACACCTAGTGGAGTCCAGAGTCCACACACCTGCACTGGACCAGCTTGAATGCAGTGTTTGCTTTCTTGCGGTGCCCTGGACCCGAGCCCATGTCATGTCCCAGGGGGGCCTGTGTCCTGCTGGCTCTGCTGTTACAGGGAATGTGCGGCTGGGGAGAGTCTGAGACCCACCGAGGGCCGGCCTTGCGTGGCAGTCCTAAGGGAGGCCCTGGCCACTTGCTTGTGGGGGGAACTCGGCTTCTTGGCACAAGGCAGTGTGCCTGGCAAGCCGGGGCCTTCCCCTGGCTCAGGCTGGCCTCCCTCTTTTGTCTCAGCTGCTGGGGGGTCCCTCAGAGATGCACATCAAAGGGTATCTCTTGCGTTTTACTCTGCCCCCTGGATGTTTTGAGCAAGAGGCCCTTCAGGATTTCCAGTCGGCTGTCGAGAGCACAGGACACCTGCCCCTCACGTGGGCTGCTGCCTGGCAGAGGCTCAGCCTCAGGAAAGCGGGTGAGGATCAGGCAGAGATGCTGTAAGACCATCCGAAATCTGCTCCATGGTGGGGGGGGGGTGGCACTCACAGCTTGAATCCTGTATCTCTGCATGACTTATGACCGCATTTCCAAAACCCTAGCTGGGGGAGGCTGGGCCTGCTCACTCAGAGCTTCCAGCACATGTCCCCGGAATCACGAGGACTCTTCTCAAGCCTGACCGTCTGGGACAACCTTGTCCAAATAAAATTCACAGATCGCCCTTGAAGACCGCAAGCGCACCAAGGGAGAGCCTTTCAAGGAAGGGCCCTCCCAGCTCCTTCACTGCTGGGGCCTGTGGGCTCTTTCCTCTGTCCCTCCCTTTCCTCCAACACCAGGAACGGAGGGGGAAGCTGAAGGGAGGGAGTGACCCCCTCTACGGCCAGTGAGTCCCTGAGAAACTCCGGCCTGGGAACTGCTCTGCCCTGCTGTGTGCTCAGCCTGGCAGCCCCGTGGTCCACTGTGGTCTCGGAGCACCAGCCTGGGGACGAGACTCCACATGGAGGAGGCAAGGCCCACCTCTGGGAGCCCCCGACCTGCTGCCACGGAGTGGGCCGGGCCACAGGGCAGGAGCCTCTGCTGGGCGCTCATGGTGGGCTCAAGGCGGGCAACGGGCTCCCAAAGGGGCCCCGGGGTCATCGGCGGGTCCCCCTGCGCCCGGGCCGGGGTGGCTCACCTCGTAGCACTCACAGTAGTTCTTGAGGCAGCCGGAGCGCCGGCAGTTACAGCCCTTGTTGTGCCGAGGCTTCACGTCTCCCAACCTCCCTTTCCCGATTTTTGGTTGGAAAGCTTCTGGATTCCTATCAAGACATGCCTATAAGACAGAAAACACAAAACTCCATCAAAATGTACTTTATTATGTAAAAATCATGTTCATTGAGAGGTATCTCGGTTGTCTGCTACGTTAATCCATCTGTTGCTTTAGGATTAGTCGCAGGACACAAAGGACTAATACGCAGCCATCAAAAAGGATGACATCTCACCATTTGCAACCATTTGGATGGAACTAGAGGGTGTTACGCTAAGCCAAATAAGTCAAAGGCAATGATCATATGATCTCACTCCTATGTGGAATTTAAGAAACAGAACAGAGGAACATAGGGGAAGAGAGGGAAAAATAAAATAAAATAAAATCAGAGGAGGAGGCAAACCATAAGAGACTCTGAGCCCTAGGAGAGAGACTGAGCGCTGCTGGAGGGGCTGAGGTCACTGGGTGACGGGCATGAAGGAGGACACGAGATGTGATGAGCACCGGGTACTATATGCAACTGGCGAATCCCTGACCTCCACCTCTGAAACTAGTAATACATTATTTGTTAATTAAAAAAAACAGAGGGAAAGCAAAAAGAGAGAGAGAAAGCATGAGGGGGGAGAACTCTAGCAGACTGCCCACTGAGCACAGAGCCTGATGCGGGGCTCCATCTCACGACCCTCAGACCTGAGGCGAAACCAAGAGTCGGATGCTTAGCCAACCGAGCCCCCAGGCACCCCATATCTCAAGCACTTTTAGACACTTTTAGAATGCATGTCTTTGGTGGAAAAAATATTACCTTAATGGCCTTGAACCGCTGGATTTCGTGACGTAGGTTGTTGCAACAATTGTTACAGTTGCAGTTGTTGCAGAAGTCCCCACTGGCAAAGCAGTCGCAGTACCTGGGAAGCAACAGCACAGCATGTCAGAGGTGCGGCGCGTGGGGACAGCAGCGTGCGTGGGGACTCAGCCGGCCAGCACGCTGGAGGCCGCCACAATTCTTATTTAGAGACTTCTTTTGTGTGAAAACTAGAGCACCTGGGAAGATGCTGTCCTGGGACTGACAGGGAGAATGAGAAACCAGTTCAAGCCCCGGCCGCGGCTGTCCACCGTCCCCTGCGCCTTGTGCCCATGGACACTCTCCCCGGAGCGCCCCGCCGGCCCCGGCCACCCACACACGCCAAGCCGAGCCCTCTTCTTGGCCAGACCGTGACTGTGAGTGGAAAGAATGGGGCCTGGAGGCCGAACCTGGCTTGGGTTCGATCTTCCTTCCACTCCCTGTCGGCGTGTGGAGGAGGAGATGAATGGGGGAAGAAACCCGCTTGCGAGGCCACTGCTATCAGACTCTCTTATCATGAAAGGGTTGTTTGTGAATTCGGAGTCTACAGAACAGCTTTTAGCCCAGTCTCTCCCCAGACGTGTCCACTGTGCCCTGGGATTCTGGAGGTCCTAAAGGCACAGAAAGGGTTTTCCCGGAAGACCTGTCAGAGTTTATGGCTACGAAACCTGCCCTCGGACTGTCCAGGAGGGGTGCGTGGAGGCCCGTGGCTTACGCGGGTTCAGCATGGGTGAAGATAAGACACTTTCCTCAACTCACGTAAAACTTCAACGTTGAGACAAGGACTCCCTGTATCTTCCCTATAACCTGCACCCCAGAGAGGCTTTGGGAGTTCATCGGCCACTCCACACTCCCGCTTGTGACTGGACAAGACCCCGCCGCTCTCTCGTGAGGGCATGAGTCACTGAAGGGAGCTTCAAACCAGGCCCCCATGTTACCTGACAGAGGTGGCGTGCCAGCGTCCTGAGCTGTAACACGGAAGTCGTGGCATCTAACCTGCCCGTCTCAAGGGGTCATCCAGGGGAGCTCGGGACATCACACGGATGTGTCTCCGATACAAGTGTCGTGTGACACCAGGAGGGCCCATGGCTGGCAACACGGTAGACTGCACGTTTGTAGAAACCTCACTGTTACAGAATTCCTAGACATTTTTCCTTCAATATTTATTGTCTGAATTCTTTTAAATAATATAGTAAAATACATGTCGAGCCAAGAGGAAAGCAAAGGAGATGATCAGAGATGAAATAAAGAAGAAACTGTGACTCCAAGGGGAGAGTTCTGTAGCTGCCAAGCGCCATCCTGGGGTGTCGCTGGTCCCGGTGACCCAGAGCCTGCTCCTGCGGGAGCCAGAAGACAAAATCCGGGCTACCGAAGGTGGGAGTCACACCATATAAAGCAAGCATCCTCGAAAGACAACTTCCCCACAAATCCCCTTTGTAGAAGGAGTGGGGATACATGCCCCTCCCAGGCACAGGGGGAAATAGGAGAGCATCTTCTAGGGCTTCCGGAGCACTGGGATGGACAGTGGGACAGGCAGAAGTGGGAAGAGACGACAGAGGATCGGAGGCTGGAAAGCAGAGGGGAGTTATGGACAGCAGACTGAAGGACCCCGAGCCCTGGGCCAGCGGGAGAGAGCAAGGAAGCAGCTCGGAAGACTCCGGACTCAGTGGTTCCAGGCTGCTCTGGAGTGGGGTGGGGGAGGGTGGGATGAGAAGAGAATTGGTTGAAATTCTAGTGAGGAAGGAGCAAGTCCCCAGGTCCTCCCCTTTCCAGCACCCTCCTCCTCTCCACCAACCGCTGTGGCAAGAGACTGAAATGACTCTCTGGGGCAAAACGATTGAGGGCGGCGCTATCACAATGAACCAAAGGAGGAAAGGTGACTGTTGAGACCCATAGCTGTCTTCTACTTGGCCCCTGGAATCCTAACACCACACTGCAAAGGCCTTCTCTGGGGATGCCGTCCAGCCCAAGAGTGAATACAGAGAGTCCCACAGCGAGGTTTCCCAATAGATGGCTTCGTCTTACCACCAAGAGTCTGTAGGAAGCTTAAGTCTCATTCTTAAATGTGAGCGGAGTGACAGCCAGAGATCCGCAGACATTTCGGGAAACCTGACATGAAACACAGAGACCTAAAGAAACAGGCTGTCCAGAGAAAGGAAACTGCTGGGCAGATTAAGAAACAAGAAAATGGTACTTTACAAAACAGAGTATAAAAATGATGTTCTGGAAAATAAAAAAGTAATCACAGATAGGATTTTCTTAACAGAGGATGTGAAAACGAGGAGAAGAGAAGGAGGTCCAGAAAGATAGAATTTTGAGAAGAAAGGGCAGAAGATGATTTAAGAACATTTCTCAGAACTAAAGGGCATGAGTTTGCAGAGAAAAAGGACTGCCAAGCGGTGAGAGAGTCCCAAAGCAAGACTTCACCGTCCACTTTCAGAGCACAGGGAACCAAAAGAGGCTCCTATAAGGTTCCAGATAGAATAAAACCGGCTTCACACAAGGAGCAAGAACAAGAATTATGTCAAAATTTCAATAGCAGCACTGGAAGCTAGAAGGAAATGCAGCAAAATCTTCAAATTTCTGAAGAAAAATTCAGCATTTGAAGCTGAACTGAAATTGGAAATCCAACTATGCAATCCAAAATAAATGGGATCCAAGCACCAGGCAATCGAACTTGGGAAGGAAGCCCTTGGTGTGGTGGCAGAGGGAGAATCCATGGTTGGGGCTGGTGCGACAGCGTCTAGACGGGGACAGGCGCACGGCTCTGAGAAAGGCTTCCTCCATCAATACAACCGAGTATGTAGCAGGTCTGAGCATGATGGGAGGACAGCTATCTACCCAGAGGGCAGTTTAGGGTTAAATTAGTGTCGTGCACATAGGAAGCCCAGTATCAACTACGACCTCCAGGGAAACAATGAAGAAGTGCAGGAAAGGAAATGAATCACGGTCCAGCAGGAAGTAACATTTTCCCAGTTGTGAAGCAGAAACACTTACTACTGATCTAACCACATGTGTCTGATGTCTGGGATGGGAGATGTGTGGGGAAGGGACAGCAAAGCCCACATCTCCCACAGTATGAAACCAAGAGAAGATGCCCCAACTGAAAAGCCAAGAAGTTAGCAAAGCAGGCATGTTATTTACATATGAGGAGACAAATATTAAGAGTCTGTTTAAAGAGTTGAAAATTCCTGGAGATCAGAAAATAAGGGACAGTTGTCAGGGAACTACCATTCTTTGTGACAAGTTTTATATAACCTTGGGTTTTAAAACTATGTGAGGAGGCATGTGGCTGGCTCAGTTGGTGATGCATGTGACTCTTGACCTTGGGATTGAAATTTGAGTCCCACGTTGGGCGTAGAGATTATTTAAAACTAAATTCTTTGGGACGCCTGGGTGGCTCAATTGGTTAAGCCTCTGCCTTTGGCTCGGGTCATGATCCCAGCGTCCTGGGATCAAGTCCCACATCGGGCTCCTTGCTCGGCGGGGAGCCTGCTTCTCCCTCTGCCTCTGCTGCCACTCGGCCTGCCTGTGCTCTCTCTCTCTCTCTCTCTCTCTGGCAAATAAATAAATAAAATCTTAAAAAAAAACTGTAAAAAAAACCCCTAAATTCTTTAAAAAAGAAAAAAATAAAAAAAACTCTTCACGTGTATTATCTGGATAAGAATAACTAAATTAAAAGTGAGAAAGGATAAACTGAAAGACAAAGAAGTCAGATCAAGGCACATCATAAAAAGATGAAGAGATTAAAAACACAGAAAAGAGGTTAAGAGGAGTGGTGCACAGCTAGAGGGGCTACCACATGGCAGATCAGCATTTCAGGACAGAAGAGAGAAAAGGGAAGAGGCTATGGAATGAAGATACCTGTGAGTGTTGAAAGTTGTGGACCCTCTGACTTCAGAAGCATAATGAGCCCCAAAAAGATAAATACAAGGAAAAAAGACAGAAGGAAAATCTTAAAAGCCCCAGAGAGGAAAGACAGCTTATCTAGACTGACAGCTTACTTCTTGCTAGTAATAATGGGAGGGATGCCTGGGTGGCTCAGTTGTTAAGTGTCTGCCTTTGGGTTGTGTCATGATCCCAGAGTCCTGGGATCGAGCCCCGCATCGGACTCCTAGCTCAGTGGGGAGCCTGCTTCTAACTCTGCCTGCCTCTCTTCCTGCTTGTGCTCTTTCTCTCCCTCTCTCTCTGACAAATAAATCAATAAGATCTTTTTAAAAAGAAAGAAAGAAAGAAAGAGAAAGAAAGGAAGAAAGGATAAAAGAAAGAAAGAAAAAGAGAAAGAAAGAAAGGGAAATAGTAAAAACAGTATCTTCAAAGCTCTGAGAGGAAAACCAACAATCTAGAATTTTATACCCAAACTATGCTTATTTACCAAGGTCCACTCCAGGCACATTTCTTCTCTTGTTCTACATACTTTGGTGATTGGTTTGATTGATTCACACTTGCCCCTCTGCTTTTTTAAATTTTATGTTGAAAATTTTTAAAACTCGATTGTCAAACCTAGTCTGTCTTCTACCCTAAAATGCTCATTTTCTTCTTCCACCAATGCTGGGAAAGATGATCTACATTGGCTGCTTATCCTTCCTCGTCACCCATCGCCCTTCGTCCTGCTGCACCCCGACCTTCTTCTCTGCCCTACTGGCTCTCAGAGGCAACCAACGACCTCCTTGCTGGAGATGCAAGGACCTCTTCACTGCATGTTTGTCTCAGTAGCTGTGACTCTCTTCTGTTCCAGAACCACATTCCCAGCTTCCCGTCAGACATTTCTACCTCCAACTCAGCGTGTCTGGCCTTAACTTGTGATCTTCTCCCACTCCACTCTGCTCAAGCTGTGCTCCCTCTCTGCGTCCGTGGTGCCGTCCGCCACTAACAGAATCCCAAGTCCCTTCTGACTGTTACCACCATTCTCCCCCCCGTACCTGAGGAGTTATCAAGTTTACCAATTCTGGCTCAGAAATGTCTTTTTCTTTTCAATTTTAGCTTTATACAATATTTTATACAATATTTTCAATTGAAATTGAAAATATTTAGCTTTTATTTGTTGAATAAAAGTTTTAGATA